AAAAAAAAGAAATATGTATATAAAATAATATAAAAATATTAAATTGAAAATCAAATACCTAAAAAAAATAAAATAAAATAAAAAAATAAATATATTTTAAGATTTTTTTTTTATTTTTATAAAAAAGGTGTACTTAGAATGGAGGTGTATATATTATAAGTCTTTTTATATTAGAAATCACAATATTATATTATTATTTTTTGCTAAAAATGTTTTTAAATTTTTAATATTTTTATTTTGAATTCTTTAAATACTCAAATAATACTTGTTAGTATTTTCTCCCTCTTTTTCCGTTAGTATTTTATAACAACGAATTTACAAAGGTGACACCCAATAAATATAAGAATTAATCACCTATACACTGTCAGTGTAAAATTTTTTTTTATACTGGTAACCAATTATATCTTTTAATTGTGCTATGTCTGTAACAACCCGATTTTCACAGATTGTAAGAGGGCCCAAAAGTCCAATATGGGTGATTTAGTAGCCCAAAACGGGCCGTTCCCAAACTGGAACGGGCCGCTTCAAACTACTAAAAAGAGCTATTTTTGGTAGCCCAGAACGGACCGTTCTCAAATTGGAACGGGCCGTTCCAAACCACCAAAATGGCCTATAATCCTAGTTTAGAACGGGACGTTCCAAATATGGTCGTTATGGGTTAAATGCAACCCAGAACGGGTCGTTTTGGTTTGAGAACGGGCCGTTCTAGATGTGAAATTTTACACATGACGAAGAGTTCAGAGCGGGCCGTTCCAGATTTGAAACGGGTTGTTTCGGCCACTCCTGATGCCTGTAAATAGAGAGCTCTAACACTCCCAAAAAGCACACCTTTCAGTTCTGACTTCTTTTAGTTCTAACTTTTTTTCCTTATACATTCTCTGAAGACTGAGGGGAACCCAGAGGAGGAGACCAACCAGATCCTGCTCTAGTTTCAGCTACTGCTTATCGAGGTACGGGGGAAAGGGGAATTATTTGTATGCAGAGTTACATGAAGGAATTGGGTAGAGGAACAATCCCTTAGGATTATAGGTAATTTTATAATTATTTTTGTTTGAGGAATTGATGATCCCATTAGATTTTACATGTATTGAGGATTAGAAATATATATTTAATTTGTGAAAATAATGGTTTGGAAGAGAGAACGAAATTGTAGAAAAGTGTCTGTGAGTCAGGTTTTAAAAAAATTGGGAGTTTTACTATTTGTTTTAATATTGTATTAAATCGGTGAATTAATTAAATTTTATATTAATTTATAAATATTATTGTTATATTAGTTATAGATGTGTATTCATGGTAAATTGCTTAAAGGGTATGTGAATCATTGTATTGTGTAGACTTATCTGTATGTGTTATGGAATTTGAGTTATGAGATGAGATGTAGTATTGAATGTGAATATGATGTGATTGTGGTTTCTCACACTAATGACCAGGGATGGCACGACCCTTGAGTAAGTGATGCTACAAGGATGACGTGACCTTGGCATAGTGTGGGATAAGTGAGACAATTAACCCGTATCACTTATGTCAGATGTGGCGTGACCTTGGCATAATGTTAATTGTAAGATTTGTGTGGATTATGAATGTGAAAATGATAGTGTTAATTGCAAGATTTGTGATGGATTGGTGTGATTGTAAAATTGTGATGTAAAGTTGATGCATGATTGATAGAATTATGATATGTAGAAATGATTGTAAATATTTCATTATGTAATGAGTTATGATGAGATTACATTATGGTGTGTTTGTATGTGTTTTACATATAGATGTTTTCTTTTCTCATCGTACAATTTGTGGATGTTTTAGATGAGGAAGATCCGGCTTTGAGTGGCATATAGAATGCCAATAATTGAATTGTGGGTGTGCTTTAGTAATGTGACATCGGGGCAGAGGATTCTAGGATATAAACTTTTATATGTATTTGGAGTTGTAACTTTTCTTTTGAAAATAATTTATAAACTCTTAAGTTTTACTTTCTAAGTTTTATTTTCAGTTATTTTGGATATTGAAAAAGAATTGTGAAGATTTTATGTGAACCCTTTTACCAACGTTGAAAATTTTATTCTTTAGTTTATTTACATTGTTACATATATATTGTTGGGGTAGTAAGGGTGTCACAATGTCACTATAAATACATTTACTTTTAACAGTGACATAACACAATTAAAGGATATAATTGGTTGCCTTTACACTGACAATGTATAAGTGATTAACTCTAAATATAATAACAAGTTTTAAACGATTGACCTCCAAACTCCAAAACCTAATTAAACTAATTAGGCTATTCATTTGGTTCAACTTTTGAATATTAAAACATTTATGCCAAATCTATCAAATGATATTTCTAACTACAACACCTATGCTTGCTGTCTTGGATAAGTTTCCATAGCTACATTTTTACCGGTAGCTTTTTTGCGGAAAATCATCTCCATTTCTTCTAAGGGCACGCCTTTGGTTTCCGGAAGGAAAAGATAGAAGAAGACCCAAGCCAATATAGATATAGCAGCAAACATGAAAAAGCTTCCACCTATGGTGATCGCTTTGTAGATTGAGATAAAACTCATGGAAACCGCAGCGTTCATGGTTCTATTCACCGCAACTCCTATACTCACCCCTTGGGCTCTCAGCTTCAAAGGGAAAATCTCCGACGCGTAGACCCAAGTGACAGGCCCAAGCCCAATGTTAAAGAAAGCAACATAAGCGTAGGTGGCGGCAATGCTAAGGCTCAAGGCCCACAAGAGGTTTTCAGTGGAATGATCCACCATGGTCAAACTAAAGGCCAATAGCGCGAGGCCACAAATCATTCCCCCAGTGCTTACTTGCAAGAGACGCCTCCTACCAACTTTGTCCAGCAAAAACAATGCTATGACCAAGAAAACGATCTTGGTGAGGCCAATGCCAACTGTAGCAAGCAAAAGCTTGTCCTTACTTGTCACACCAGCTTTCTTGAAGATTCTGGGGCTATACAACATCACAGCCTCAATGCCAGTTGCGTGCTCGAAGAAGTGAATCCCAACGGCTGCAATCAGCGCCCAACGAACCTCCGGTGTGGGACTCACCAGCAACTCTTTCCAAACCCCTTCACCACGCTGTGAGAGCTTCGTCTTCTCATCAAGCCCAACGCCAACAACACCTTTGATTTCCGCGAAACGAAGTTCACCCTCTTGTGCTGTGTTGGAAACTCGCAGTAGCACCTTCTTGGCATCTTCCAAACGACCTTGCATCGCCAACCACCTTGGAGACTCTGGCATGGCCAGAATGCCCAAAGCTAAAGCAAGTGAAGGAAGTGCAGCAACACCCAGCATCAATCTCCATCCAAGCTTCAAACTCATTTTCCCCAACAAGTAGTTTGATATGTAACCAAGTAAGATCCCAATGCCAATACAAAGCTCTGGTAAAGAGGTTATAAAACCCCTCGATGATGCAGAGGAAATCTCTGCTGTGTAAACTGGTGCTATCATCAGTGCAAAGCCCACACCGACACCACCCACGCACCTTCCCAGCATTAAGATTGCGTAGTTTGGACCGTACCCCATGAGAATTGAACCAACCATGAAGAGAATTGAGGCCAACAAAATTGTGTAGCGTCGACCAATGTAATCCGAGGTTCTTCCAGCGGCTAAGGATCCCACCAATGCGCATAGGTTCAAGATTCCTGCTAGAATTTCTTGTTGGGTGTCGTTGATTCCAATATCCTCCTTGATGAATATCAATGCTCCACTCATCACACCAGTGTCTGAAATCAAGTCGATAGATAGAATTCAAAATATTTAAGTATGTGTTTCAAATCCATCAATAAAATAGAATATAATCATTTCAACAGCTGCTGTTTTTGATGCTGTTTTTTTATTACACAGATTTAGATAAAATTAAAATTTTAATTACAGAATAACTCTGAAAAAATACTAAAAAATTGTCCTCATTTAAAAATTTTGAAAAAAAAAACAAAAACGTTTGTAGAAAATTAAAAATACTATCAAAATGTTTTGTGTTTTTGGTGTTTTAAGGTATTTTTGGTTGAGAACACAAAATTAATATTTTTCTATAGAGATCCATTTTAAAGAAGATAATATCTCTTTCTAAATATTCTTCAATACAGATAAATTTAGATATAGATTATGTTCTAGTACATAATTATCTATAGATAATATTACACTATGTTAATATAATCATATGTTATTGTGAAGAGATAACAAGCATTTATTTAAGAGATTTATTTAAAAGGATAATTTTTCTCTACAAATATAAATTCATATACACAAGTTTAAATATGGAACTCTTCACTACATAATTAAGGGATACAATTATCAATATGTTTAAGTTTGATATATCTTTCTCCAAATAATATAAGAAATTTTTTTTTATATTTTTTAATATAAACAAATTTCAACTACTATCTTATTTAAAGATACTTTTCCAAAAATATCTTTATTTTAATGCATGATTTTTTAGTTAGGCTACAATTATATCTTTTAATATTTATAATAAAGATAATTAATGAAAATATTATAAAATTAATAAAATTTAATATAAATAATTAATTTTTTTAATATGCATAGAATTAATATTTTTTTTACTTATAATAAAAAATAGATAAAGTAGATGATTAAGGAATACGATTATCCGTGAATCATTCAATAACATATCAATTTAATCATATTATTTTGAAGAGATAACAAAATGATAGAAAAGAATAACATACGAGATAAATCAGTAAAAAGAGAAAAATGATTGAAGAAAAGAGTTAAGAGGAAAAGAAAATGCAATATTACCGTAACCGGATATGATGGATACCATCGAAGCAACTACAGCACAAGCAAGGGCATACTTGTTGAGCATCCTCTTCTGGTCTTCTTTACCACCACCCTGCTCCATTATCATAATAATAATAATAATATTTATTATAGGGTCTCTCTAACTACAAATTTCTCAGTGGTAAAAGGCTCCTCAACGTGATCTGTGACTATCTAGTTGCTCCAATATTCTGAACGCCAAACTCGTTTATATAGAAGCAGAGATCCTATTATTGTGTGAACAAGGGATCTTAGGTATGATATGGTTTCCACTAACTGTGGACTAGTCAGATTTACTTGCTGGTGGCTGTAATACTGAATATGATATGTGGCACAGAAAATGATGACACTAAAGTCTAATATAAAAAGGGGAAAGGAAGAGTGAAAAGAAAAAAAAGCAAAAGACAAAGTTGGGTTAATTAGTTAAATGTAGTGCCACGGCACACGGTTGGCTAATGAACGAAAATCAACGAGGAAGGTTAGTGTAGAATTTCTCAAAATATGTTGTCAATCTTCTAATAATTGTTGTAATCTACATGAATTTATCACTTTTTATCAGAAATTATTCAAGACTAACTATAAATTGTTATGGATAAGGATACTGATCACAATACAGACCAGATTGTTGGTATAATCTTGTAGATAAAATTGAATTGCTGACTAGGACGCAGCTATCTTCAAACCTTGAAACCTTAAAATCGAAACAGATTTGAAAAACATATATCTGGAGAAATTTCATTTTACTACCCTCTGTGATTTAGAAATTTTTTCTCCCTTTCCTTCTTTTTTCGTGTTTAAATTGTATTAAAGTTTGAAGTGAATAGAATTGTAACGTTAATGTAAAATGGATATAACCCTACTGTAGAGTCAAAGCCTTAATTCTGATGTTTCCCTCCTTGATATGGAAGGAAATTAATCAGATAAATGAAACTGGGAATATAAAAAAGGAATACACGATATGATTTTTGCTTCATCTTTGACCGTGGTCATGATTAAATTGCCAGATAAAAGGAGCTAGTTTATATGGAGAATTAATTAAATTGATAGAATATGATATTATTCCTTTCTTTCCACAATAACTGCAAAGTAAGATTTATAACAAATATTAAAGACGAATAAAAGTAACACTTTTTTTAATGTATTTTTCTTAAAATAATTCAATTTTTAATAAATGTATTTTTTAATTATAGTGGTTAAATAATTTATAAAAGAATAAATTAACAAATAATTAATAAATAGTGTACTAGGAGGCACCTTTTCGGCCAAACGATAAGCCGATAGGGGTGCCCGAACCGACGAAGACGCAGTCCACAGGTAGGTACCCCTTCGGTCAGATAATAGGCCGAAAGGGGCACCCGAACCGATGTAACACACTACTACACCCCCTCGGCCTTAGGATAGGCCGAACACCTCCTCGGCCTTAGGGCAGGTCGAACACCTTTTCGGCCTTGTACTTGACCGAGGACTTCAACAAAGACCAGCTCACGAAGAGCATGGAGCAAAACCCTCGGCATTGACTTAAACCGAACACCTCCCCGGCCTTAGGGTGGGCCGAACACCCTTTCGGCCTTGTACCTGGCCGAGGACTTCAACAAAGACCAGCTCACGAAGAGCATGGGGCAAAACCCTCAGCATTGACTTAGGCCGAACACCTCCTCGGCCTTAAGGTAGGCCGAACACTCTTTCGGCCTCGGACCTG